TTTAACATTGCCATAAAGCGCGGAGGTTTGGCTAGCCACAAAACCAGATTCAACCCACCATTTTTTCTTTAAATGTCCTGTATCAAGTCAGGAATATGGCAGTTGTTATTAAATAGTTCGTTTCTATGAATGTTGCATTGTTGTTTGTTTTTTTTGCACTTCTGTGTTCTGTTATTTCGTTGGTTTCCTCTTATAGTTGATGTGTTTTCCTCGGTTTTAGTTTGTAACCCGGATTTGTTTTCTCTCAAACGATTTATGACTTTTGAACAGTGGTATACTACTGTTGCCTTTATTTACCACGTCTTAGATTGTGGTTTAACATCTATACCTTCTAAGTACTGAACGTGACCTATTTCCGAATATGACTATTTTGCCGAGTGTGAATTTGCATTGCTATACGACTTGTCTCGGTATTTATACATCAACATTCATGTATTTATTTATGTTGTTTCTGTTGTAGTTTCGGTTGGATATTGTGTTATGTCTTATCGTTTGTGGTTTGAATGCTGTATTTTCTGTACATTTCACATATGTCTTATTTGTCAGTATAGTCGAGTTAATTTCCATTTTCCATGGATAAAGTATTGTATTAGTCCAAATAATTATGATATGACGTCGTCACAGCATTTTTTTTAAAATAGCCTTTCAATACCGTCATAGTCATGATAATTGTTTGGACTAGTATTGTGAAAATAATTGTATGAATTTCAATCTTATATATTCGTTACAAAAATATGTCACTGTTTGTGATGTCCTGTGCTGTTGTTAGTGGAATATATTCGTTGTTATTCTACGGTTTAAATGTTGTAACGACTATTATATTATTTATTTGTGCGTTTCTCTGTGCTGAATGTTCTTGCGTTTGTTTGTGCTGTGTTTCTGTCACGTAGCATTGTCATTTTAGAGATATATGTTACACTGAACTGCGGTCAAGCTTAGCGAAAGGTCGTGCAACATAATCAGTCAAACAAACTTTATTAGATTAACTCGTTAAGGAACGATCGTTTTCATTGGTCAATTCAAACCTTCGACCTCACACCTGCGAAAATAGAACACGCGTACTATAAAGCTGAATGAACTGATCAGTATTCACGTAGCCGGTCAAGGTCGTTAAAAACTTCCATCGTCGTATTCCCGAACATGATTGTGTTCTTGATTATCGCATGGCAATTCTAGCTTTTATACATGTGCATGTAAAATTTTAAACTTTAATCTTAACAGTCACGTCGAAATATTTAATTCAACTGTCTCCTCTCAATTGGTCCTGGATTAAGGGAGCTACCATTTTATTTTGATTGGGGGTGAAGGACTTGGATGAAACATTTTGTCCTGCATTTTTTTTAGTTGTTATCTCTGTCCTGTCTTTCTATTTTTCAGTCTGTTAGGTCCTGACTATATTTATTCGTTTATCCTGATTTTTTACATAAATCGTCATCCTGCCTTTTTTTGTCAAGTTGCTCACCCTGCCTTATCTTTTATTCAATGGACTTGATGAATTAACGTTGTACTTGAAATGAAACCGTACTTAACTACAAAAATAACCAAATTACATACTAAAGATATTGCTCGATTTTTATAGTAAATGGGTTTGTGTTATTAACTGTCATGTTCATTATTCATATTCTTTCATAAGTTTTAGGATAGTGTGATTTTTTTTCTGATTTAGTTTACTTGATTTTGAAAAAAAAATCCCTAAATTCTAAGTAAATTCAGAACATGTAACCAGCCATGCTTTGTTTAGAGAAAAAATGGAGATGGCAAACCATGGCACAGTGGAAGGAAATGTACTTTATAAACTCTAGCGATATACTTTCTTAATTTATAATTAACTGTTTTGCTATCCTCGGTTGAAAATTATATATTGTAAATATTTAAATAGTTGCATAGAAAACAATCAGTTTTAAAAAGTGTGGTTATTCACTAAATGTATTGATAAAAGGTGACTCCATTTTTGTACATACTTTTACAGTAGTCATCCTTAATTTCTTAATATTTCGTTTATAAGTTTATCATACATGTATGATTTTGTATTTCATTTTAATACGCACGCACGCCACACGTTACTTTGGCGGATTGTTCAACAATGTTATGCAAAGCTCTATTCTTACGGTATGAAATTAAAGGATAAATTTTCAACCAATCAAAATCGAAAACAGTACATTTATATAGTTCCTTATAAACTACGACATTTCTCACAAGTATTTATTTATTTTTTAGTTCCACACATGCAAAAATAAAATCTTCGCCGATGAAACATTTCAAACCTTTTTACACCAACATGCCTTCACTGAATTCATTTGAATTTCGTCGTGACCATGATAGTACATTGCATAGTACATCTATATTCACGTGCACACATGGTACGATCTTTCGGGGACAATTTGCTCGTTTATGACACGTCATTTCTGAATGACCAAACGCTTAGCTTCTTTATTTTCGTTTTATAGCATGAAAACAATAAAAGAGGAATGTGCAACCCATCATAAATTTGAAATGGATCAGTATTATGAGATCCTTATTATAAGTAACTACGACATTGTCAGGATAATAACATAGCGTCAATATGAAAGAAATTAAAGTGTTTCATACATTCATCCGTATAAAAGCGGCACATGTATTTTATTTTATCCTTATATTTTTCATAGTGCGGTACAAGTGCTGCATGCATAAAGAATATTACTTAACACAAATTATTAGTATAATATTTCGACCCCACTATTTGAAATTCACAAAATACTTATTTAATTATTTCGACCAAAAATCATTGTTTTTTACGTTCGTAGTAACGTAGTACATTCCATTGTCGGTCACCTGTGTCAATTCACGTGCACACAACAATTGTTGTTGTATTTAAATCTTTCGGCCAATGAAGTGAGACGTTACAAGTTGTTTGTTTGTGATACGCTAGAATGTTGTCAATGAATTATCAATCGCTAAACTTGACTGCATTTCAGTGTAACATTACCATATAAGCGGGAGGTTTGGCTAGCCGTAAATTCAGGTTCAACCCACCATTTTTTCTTAAAATGTCCTGTACCAAGTCAGAAATATGGCAGTTGTTATCAAATAGTTTGTTTCTATGTATGTTGGCGTTTGTTTTTGTTGCACTTCAGTGTTTCTGTTGTTCCGTTGTTTTCCTCTTATATCTGATGTGTTTCCCTCGGTTTAAGTTTGTAACCCGGAACTCAATCGATTTATGACTTTTGAACAGCGGTATACTACTGTTGCCTTTATTTATGCCTTTCCCGTGGGGAGTTAATACAACATTACGTATTGTGCCACTAAAACTATTATTTTCCATTTATGAAAGTCTATCTGTAATCCAAATAATACCTCAAGCATAGATTTTTCAGGAGTTATTTCAGTATTATATATATAAATCGAATATATATTTCCAGCCATGTTGTAACCTATTGCATTTTTTGCTATAAGCTGATTATTCTCTGGATGAAAACTTGAATGTTGTGGAATTAAACAATTTTACGTGCGTACAAACCTTCACCTTTGCTTATCTGGACCATATGTTGCCAAGGTATAAAAAATACAATGAAAAACCTGCAAATTGCAGCTATCAACAGGATGACGCGCACTAAGGAGATTTTTCTATTGGTTGTTTTAAAGGTGTTATTGCTCCATACACATTTTGTTTGCATAACCTGTAAATTCAAACACGTAATCTGATATATGCAAGCCATGAGTTGAAAATGGAATCTGGATTTAACTTTTTGTCCCCCGCATGACGCGTTGCGGGGGTAATAGAAATACCTGGCATCCGTCCGTCCGTACGTCCGTGTGTCCGTCCGTCCGATCATGTTAGCACTTTTACAGGTACAATTCTTGCAAGATTTTTATAAAATTTATACTGTAGGTTACTAGTAATATCAGCAATATCTCGGACAAGTTCTATAATGGTGGCCGATCGACTTTTTTAAAAAGAGTTATGCCCCTTGGAAATATTAAATCTATGGAAAATGGTCTCGTTAGCGCTCTCACGGGTACAATTCTTGCCAGATTTTTATATTGACAAGAATGTGTGAGCAAATCAAACAGATTTAATAGGTAAAAATGTCAAAAATTGAGGTTCAGCAGTCAACATTGTGTTATAATCTAAATCACTATAATAAAAAAAAACTATGTCAACAAAGAAAAAACAAATTGGCATATAGACACTATACACAAAGCACAGAAGTAAAAATGAAAGATAAGAGCACAAAAAATGACCATAGCGCAATAACACAATGCCGGTATTTATAAATGAAGATAGATTGTAGACAGTTGTGCAAAATGTGATAGCCAAAGGATGAAAATACCGTGAGTTGAATCTGTGATAAAGAAGAAGTAGATACTTTTTCCTAAATGGGTTAAGGTTGTGAGGTCGTTGAAACAAATCATAATTTAAAAAAAAGTATAAAGTCACTCATGCTACTTTATTTTCAAAGACCTATCTTACCTCAACTATCTGTTGCTGTGCAAATCATGTATACTAAGTTTCAAGTTGATTGGACTTCAACTTCATCAAAAACTACCTTGACCAAAAACTTTAACCTGAAGTGCTCGCACTATCATTTTCTATGTTTAGTGGACTGTGAAATTGGGGTCAAAACTCTAATTTGGCATTAAAATTAGAAAGATCATATCATAGGGAACATTTGTTCCAAGTTTCAAGTTGATTGGACTTCAACTTCATCAGAAACTACCTTGACCAAAAACTTTAACCTGAAGCGGGACAGACGGACGAACGGATGGACGGACGAACGGATGCACAGACCGAAAAACATAATGCCCCTAGGTGGGGCATAAAAACATTAGGACCACTACTACACTCATAATTGGCACACCTCCCTGATTTTTTGTGGTCAGGATTCTTTTTTTATGTGTCATTTGGTTACTATTTCACTGAATTATACCTCATATAACCTTTATTCATAACATCCACATTCTTATTCTTAAAACTAAAAATATTTATTTTTTTTGTAACTTGAAACAGAAAACAAGTCATATTATAAATAAATCTTTTATACTTTTGAAGTAAATATAAATAGTCCCGATGAGATTAACTTCCAGTCATAAAATGAGATGATTTTTTTTGATAAAAAATTTTCAACATAAATTAGCACTAATTATTACATCACAGTTGGTCCACACAAGTATCAATTAATTATGCTTTATGAAAACGCTTTGACGAGTCTTTTGCATGGTCTAACAACATCTGACATGGTTTGAACTGTGGGCCATATAAACTCTCATATCTTAACATTTTGTCTACTAACTGTCCTGCACCATATAAGTCCAGGTATCTAAAGGGACCTACAATTGAAAACATAAGATTAAAACTATAGAAATTTCGGATTCTTTTAAGGACAAATTCTTCTTTCTGTTGTGGAAATTTAATGCAACCAGTAAGTTTTTTCAACATTATTTAAGAAGCTATTCATAGAAGATAATATGCCTGTAAGACATTAATGTACACATTTAAATGAACCATGTTAAAACAGCTTCTAGAAAGACCCAAATGCAAATCTAAAGCTGACAAAAAATTCTATGTAATTCCGACCACTTGAACCTGAATTGAACAGTTGTGATGACACATTTGTTCATGGACATGTAAAGGTGACAATGCAATTGTTGACTCCACAAGGTAAAAGGTTAAGAAGCAAATATTTCATTCTAATTCAGAATTACAAATAAGAATAAGATAAGTAAAAATTCATATACCAAGCTGCAGTGTAGCTTTATATCAATGTGACTTAAAAAGTACACAAAAAGACCCACAAGATACTGAATTGCTTGATATCTATATATATTTTTTTTAAATGGAATGGAATATCAATAATATAATGAAAAATGTAGATGTCTTTTGATCCACTGTGTCTTTCTGGTGCAGTCTCAACCCCCTCAATCCCAATTACTCTATACTAAGTAAGAACGCTAACCTAAGTATAGGTCATAATAAATAAAATGCTACTGTTTAGGTATCGAAAATATGAACAGTGAGTCCTTAGAAAAGTTGCATTTATGGAAAAATTCAGTCCTATGCAAAAGTTTTGAAACTAATACTATTATGTGTGAAATGAGTATACACAATTTGTTGTATTTATTTGGTATTAATTAGATAACTTGTAATCTTAATGAAGAAAATCAAATACGTGTATATATATATATATAGATAACAACAAGTTTGGCAGCTGGTGAAATGAATTTTTTCAAAGGTAATCGAGGCAAAATCTACTAAGTTTTGTAAAGTAGTAGGTATTGCAAACACTGATATATGATAATATTACCTACCTCCCATAAATGGAGGGAATCCTAACCCAAATACTGCACCAATATCACCATCAAGCTTTAAAAAGAAAGATCACAGTTTGCTATAACCTTTTTTTAACTAAAAATATTGGATGAACCGTGTGGTTTGTCAGTCAAGACATTTTTTAATTTTCAGCTATAGAATGAATTTTTTAAAACACAATGAAATAGAACTGCACATATCAATTATATAATTTTTTTGTGGGTTTTTATTTAAAAAGTGAAAAGAAATAATTATCCTTGTGAAAATTTGCAAAAATAAGTATGTAAATATGTATAATACTTACTTACATATGTGCTCAAAGATTTCGAACAGACTTCCGAGTAACTAATATTGAATTTGCAATAGCTCATACAGTATCAAGTTTATAAAATACATGATAGAAGTATAAAAGTCTCCCTCCAATTTCAAGTCAAACGATACTTTTACATGTAAAAACTTTGTGCCAACAATTAAAATACTTACAGGTGAATCTAGAATGCCCTCTTGTAAGCATAAAACAGCTTCATTGACAAAGCGAGAAACTAATCTATGTTGTATATCTACATCTGTATTCCTATAACAAACAGATAGTGGAAATTACATGAACATGTTTGATAAAATTCCCATAGGCTATATTCACTTATTGATCAAATGATGTTAAGATAAGTTCTTAAAGATGATATTCTATGGGACATTTCAACAATATTTGACTCTGACAAACCATGTCTTGCAGTGTAAATTTTTTTTTTAAAACGATATCAAATCATTGTATTCTTGCAATGACAAATAACAAATTTTCTTGTTTGTATTTTCACAGTGGTTCATGTTCAACTTATGATCACTCCCAATAAGCACGTTCTGCCAGCCACTTATTTTATACAAGTCTACCACAGATTCAGAGAAAGTGTTTACAAGGAAAAGACAATATTGGATGCAATAATACAGACTCATTTTAACAACAGATCTTAAATTGATAAATGTGTTTTTGAAAAGCCTTAAAAGTTAAAATTTCACTTCTGTTCAAAAGTGAAAAATTCATGGCAGCTTTATTTTTACTTTTTATTATCATAAAGATATCTGTTCCATGCAAATGCTCAATACCTAGCCACTTTTTTAGCCATGATTATGGATCTAATGATTGAAAAGAAACACGAACACAAAAGCATTCCATACATCATTCATGAATAACATTTTAACATACTTGGGATTGTGCAAGCACACTACATTATTAAAGAACATAGAATTAAAGAGACTGCCAAATTTTTCATGATAATGTGAGGAAAAGTTTGAATTGCAATATCTTTTCAGGTTTGTGAGGTTATATGTTATTTAATGGATGATACAGGTTCTAACATTCATTAAAAGATGAGGGAAATATGAGAAAATTGACTATCATTTATCATCATTCCGATGTGGTTGGGAAAAGATCTACAGCATTTTTTTTATCTATAAAGTTAACTTTTTGTTTGAAACAAATAAATACATACTCTGCCAATGGTTCCACACTGTATTTTTTAACTATTTCTAATGCCTCCTGATTTTCTGGTCTTGCCTTGGATCCTTTTTCATAAATATAACAACCTTTTCCAGCCTTTCTCCCTATGAATATAAATTTAGAACAATCAATTCTGAAATATATCTTAACTACTAATGTTAGTGATTCTTTTTTTTTTCCAAAGTGCAGCACTCAACTTACAGTCACCGTCTAAATTTTAATAGCAGTTTCTTCAATGGTGTGAAAGGAAGCAATGCCTCTGCAGCCAGATTATATAATAAAAATACACATGCATTTACCATGCAATACCAAAAAAAAAAGAGAGACCTGCTACAAATCATAATCTAACAGTTCTTTTCTGTCATCAGTTAGTTTTCCTATTACATTACTTGAATATCTCAAAGACTTATATATCTTGTAATATGAACAAAATCTAAACGTGATAATTAATTTGTAGGACAAATGGGATGTGAAATTTTGAACAAACACAAGAACATCTTAACAACTTTGGCAGACCTAAGGAATTCAAAAGTTTGATTTACCAGCATTAAGGCAAACAATACTAATTTTATAAAATTCTAGCCACTTAAAACTGTTTACAATCACCAGAACAATTGTGTAAACAACTTGAACATTCCCCTAAAATTTGCAAGCTTTCTTGGATTAAACAAATGCAGACAGCATATCCCCTCTGTCATTTAAGCTTTTACTCCACAAATAACATAATACTTTGAGGTTTTTGTCAACCATAACATTGATTTTTTAATATAATTTAAAGTTACTGATACTCTCAATGGATTAAGATTTCAACAGAGATGAAATGAAATAAATTCTGATATCTCGGGGTATATATATATATATATATGTATATGTCCAGGAGACAGCCCTTCCTTACCAAAAAAAAACAACCAAGACAAAAGACATAAAGAGGGCAACACACCATTTTCAACAATAGGTAAGCGTTTATACCATATGTCAAGCTATCAATCAACCTAAATCTATACAAGTTGTGAGTAGGTTTAAAAGAGAATATAACATTCTATTTCTTTATACTAAACCTAGATACAAACCTAAGAAACCAGCTGTTACCATATCTTTCAGTACGTTGACATTACCACCACCAAATCTATCTCCAAATACTTTTCCTAGATCTTCTGCTACGTGAGCAGCAACATCTACACCCACTTCATCAGCTAATGTTGCAGCTCCTACAGGGAAACCAAATTTCTTTGTTAATGCATCTAACTTCTTTGGTCCTACTCCTTCCTACAACATAAAAGAGACAACTGGTAAGGTACATTTCATCAGTGAAAAATAATAAAATTTTGTATTTGTCAATCATTAATTCATGATTGCTTAGTCTCACAAAAATTATGCCAATGAATGAAAATGTACTTAATAGGTCATTGAATTTAATATTTCTAACCAGGCACAAATACATCAATTGATTTTGTTAACCATGATTCAGTAAGTTTTTCCATGAGTTGTCTAGTAGACCAACCTGTAGCAGTCTGATAGCTTCTGACAACATGGGTGCTAAGATTCTAGTGGTGTAAAATCCTGGACCATCTTTCACTGTAATCACAACCTTTCCTTGTTTTAATCCTACAGCTACAGCTGATGCTATGAAAATAAAATCATAATAATGCTGTACTCAACAAATGTATACTATCATACCCAAGATACCAAACCCATAAACAAAGCTATATCTTGCAATGGCAAACAATAAAGGTAATTCTGAAAAACTAAAACAAATAGCAGCTGCACAATTGCATTTTGTATTGAATAATCTTCAAATGTGAATCTTATACATTTGTTTTTAGAAACATGACTGAATAAAATTTATACATTGCACATTTCTACAGAATACATGGAAAATTGCTGAAAAAGCTTTCCGACTTTTATTCAAAATAGATATAAATTCCTCATAGGGTTGACGCTTTGATTTAAACTGTCAAATCATAAGATTCAATCCTTAACCTGTATAGATAATTACCTGCTGTGTCCTTTGATGTTTTATCAGTGGTTATTATTTCTAACAATTGCATCTTATCAACAGGTGAAAAGTAGTGCATACCAATAAACTGTAACAAAAGTTATAGTATCACTGTAAGCCTTTGTAAAACAAAAAGATCAATGTACCAATTAAATTGAAAAATATAGAAATTTTAATTTTGGCATCCTAGGATCATTAAATAACATTTCAAAATCAAATTGTTACTCTCTAACATAGTAAACGACTCACATAAAATTAAATTAAATTCTTTTTTAAATGAGAAATTTAAACCTAATTATCTTGGACAATGAACAAAAGTAAGACAAGTTTATTTACCTTTTCTGGTCGTTTACTGGCTGTAGCTATCAGATTAATTGGTAATGCAGATGTGTTGGATGCAAATATACAATGTTCAGGTATATGCTAAAAATAAAAATACAGTTTTCAAAACATTATTCTAAAAGCCTATATGTTGATTTTTTCTGATCTACATATTAATTTATCATCATGTATTTAATGATATCTCAGATTGTTTATTACAATCTTTCCCTAAATACTTTAGATGTGTACTGATTGATACTTTGGTCTGGGAAAACATGATTTATGGATTTATTTTTTAGTTGTAATTGGCTTTAAACTAATTTTCAGTAACTCTTGAGTACTCTTGTATCAGTATTTTGTGTCTACTGTTTTCTTGTTAAGTATTTTTGTGCTTCATACTAATCTATTGAGGTGAGCCATTTGCAACTGATTTTTACAGTTTGTTCTTATGTTGAACTGTTACACAACTGTCCTAGGTTAGGGGAAGGCTGAGTGCCCACAAACATGTTTAGCACCACCACATTCTGTATGTGCCTGTCCAAAGTCAGGAGCCAGTGGTTTTCTTGGTTCATGTCTGTCATATTAGTTTTTTGTAAACTGAATTGTTACAAATTAGGCCGTTAGTTTTCTCCTTTGAATTGTTTCACATTTTTCATTTCGGGGCCTTTTCTAGCTCACTGTACGGTAAGGGTTTCGTTGAAGGCCATATGGTGACCTAAAATTGCTTATATCCACGTCATTTGAACTCTTGTGGATAACTGTCTCATTGGCAATCATACCACATCTCCATAATTTAATATAGAACATACAACACCAAGACCAAGATCTTATATGGTAATATCCATTGTTGTGACTATAACTATTTCACTTAAACCATTGGTCTTGAGAGTTATAAGCTTTAACGATATTGGTAAAGGACAAATCAATATAAATTAAACTTTTTTATCAGCATCTTTCATTTTCCTATATTATTTTTTTCAACCTTTTTTTTTTATTAAATGCAGACTAACCTGTTCTACTTCCTTGACAACTTTATGTTTAATGTTGATATCCTCAAAAACAGCTTCTATAACCATATCAACTTTATTAAATCCAGAATAGTCTAATGTTGGATCCATGAATGACATTAAATGATCTCTTTCAAACCTATCAAATAACATCTTCCATTAGATTAATTGAATAATTGATGGATGCTTTAATAATAACATCAAACAGCATATATTATATGTATATTCAGTACAATAATATGAAAATAACCATGTACTTCACTGGTATGTTGAGCTAAATTTTTAATATGCTAACGAGGTAACAGTTTGCAGGAAGACAGTGTTCTGATTCTGAGCTGTCAAATCTTTGCTCTAACTCATAAATGCTGATCGGATGAGTAGCAAATACCAGTTTATAAATGTTTTGACTGTGCCAGGGATCAAATCCAAAATCCCTTGCACTTGAGACTAGCACATTAACACTAGACCTCAGAAGCAGTATCTACCATCAGAGATCATATTTTTTATATTTTGTACATATTTTGTAATCTAAAGTTCACAAATTCAATTTCAAGACAATTTATTCTTACACACCAACATAAGTTTTCATAAATAAATGGAGCTATGAATAAAAGTGAGTGAAAAATTTCACGTAAGTGTTAAATGTATCGCATGCTGGTCAATTTTATTGGTGGAAATTTTGAGAATATTTAAGTTAGATTCAGAATAAGTCAACTATGGGATAGTAAACCTCTACATGTACATGTAAACATTCTTTGCATCGGAATTAAACATATTTATTCTAAAACCAGTTGTTGGCATGACACAGGTTATGTTCTTCTCATATATTACATAACGGTATAAAACTAAACCTCTAACAGGAGGGATTGTGCCTGATATTCATATGATGAAGACATAATCTTTCGATCAGTTTAATTGAGGTCTGGAGCTGGCATGTCAGTAACTGCTAGTAGTCTGTTGTTATTTATGTATTATTGTCATTTTGTTCATTTTCTTTTGTTTCCTATTCTGACATCAGACTTGGACTTCTCTTGAACTGAGTTTTACTGTGCGCACTGTTGTGCATTTGTTTTTTCTACATTGGCTAGAGGTATAGGGGGAGGGTTGAGATCTCAAAAAACATGTTTAAACCCGCCACATTTTTGCGCCTGTCCCAAGTCAGGAGCCTCTGGCCTTTGTTAGTCTTGTATCATTTTTAATTTTAGTTTCTTGTGTATAATTTGGAGTTTAGTATGACGTCCATTATCACTGAACTAGTATACATATTTGTTATGGGGCCAGCTGAAGGACGCCTCCAGGTGCGGGAGTTTCTCGCTGCATTGAAGACCCATTGGTGGCCTTCGGCTGTTGTCTGCTCTATGGTCGGGTTGTTGTCTCTTTGACACATTCCCCATTTCCATTCTCAATTTTATTCTGTCCTATTCACTTCAAGTCATACTGATGTTGTTCAAATCTTTCACTTTGAACTTCACTTCAGTACTTTTTCTAACAAGAACATGTCTAATTTGCACTAAATTAAACATTTGTACATTTAATCTTTCTTTATATATGACATGACTGTAGAGATTTAAATATACATAGTTTATTACTGTAAATTCATAAATTACTGTGTGCATTTATTATTGCGATAGTTGGACAATCAACATACATGAGAGTTTATTTATTGGGATTTCAGGAAATGTTGCATACAAATGATGCTATCAAAATTTAAAGTGGGACTTTTTATTTTTACAACACTTATCTAGTTGCTATTTTTGCAATATTAAAGAAAAACAGCAAAATACTCAGAATTGACAGTATATAAATTCAAACATACGTAGTTATCTTCTTTCTTTTAGCTTGTTTGTTCAATCCTGCATACACTTGTTCTTCACCCCTGGCTAATCCTTGAAGTGACATATCTTTCATTGTTACATGATATCCTTTGTCTATGCTTACTTGTACTACACCAGCTCCCATTAAACCAGCTCCAAGAACAGCAATATGCCTACAAAATTTGTAATAAATTTTGTACTGTCCAACAATTCTATACACAGATTCATGACAGCAAAAATTACGATCTTGCATATTTTGGTTTTTAAATATGGTGTTTATACACTATTCTTTCTGTAAATTGTCAGCAGATAATCTTTCCATGTTTTTTTTTTATCTAAATCAGTCATTTTTGACTACCTAAACCAAAAACTTTTTATAAACTATTATAAATTTGGTTTAACACTTTATTCATTATGCAAGACATTCTTAATATTATTTAGCTAAAAAATGTAGGAAATTTGTACTGCATTGAACACTACAATTTGTTGTTCACTTGTACCCATGAAATCCATGAATATTTGTACACCATGAATAACAATGAATCCACAGTATAACATTGGTCTTAAGAGCTATGGGCCTTTACAGATATTTGTATACAAAATCAACCATAACATACTTGGTCTCTCTCTGTGGTTTGCCAAATCTGTTCTTCTTGCAGTGAGTTTGTCCATGATATAATCCTATCAATGCTTTTGAATGTGTGGTCATACCTAATTCACCAAAGGCCTGAAATAATCATTTAAAATCATTGTTCAAAAATTAAAGTTTAATATAAGCAGTTCATAGACCAATTGAAATAGACATCATTATAAAATCAACTAACAACATGGTTTTTCAATATAAAATATGTCTGCTCTATGACTAGGATATTAGTTCTCTTCTTTGAGAAAAATAAATTCCATTTTACACTAGAAATCATTCCGATATTGTAAGATTTGACTAACTTGAAGATCATAGTAGCCTGAACCATTAAAACTGTTTTTTTTTTAAATAATACTGAAAGCCTTTCTCTAATACCAATTGGGACAGCAATTTCAGGAGAAGATATTTGAATAAGTTCATGATTGAAGTAAAGTTGTGAGAAAACACACACTGGCCCTCTGGAGAGCATCTAAGTGAAGCAAATAGCACAGACAGACAATTTGGAAAGGATATAATAACAAAAAAGGATAAAAATAAAACTACACACAAAGGGCAATCAGATGTATGGACATTTTACTTTTAGATATTTGTGTAAACAATCATTTTGCACTGCCATTTATCAATAATTGCATTTATAAATTCAATAAGACTTTGATCTTTTTAAAATAGCCAAGCAAATTATCAAAGGTAATTGTGATGGGAGAACTTGTTTTAAGATGCTTAAGATTTGCCATCATCTCAAATTATAATCAAGTAAAAAACAAAATTAAGTTTACCTCCGATTCTGCCTTGTATCCAGCTGCGGATCCAGGTTTGTTCATAAGACTTGTTTTCACTATCTGAAATCACAATATAACATAGAAAGTTAAACTTTGATAAACTTTATTGGACAAGATAGTTACTGGTAGCTAGTAGCTTTAGTTAACAAGCTCACCCCCCAAAAAAAACCCAAAAAAAGGGGGGGGGGGGGGGGGGGGGGGGGGAGGGGGGGGGGGGGGAGAACCTGTAGTGACCTGTTGTTCAGACAGTAATATACTCTCTAAAAAATCTGTTTTAATTAACTATGACATTGACCTTGGATCTTTTGACCTCAAAATCAATAGGGATCCTTCTCTTATTATATGTGACCATAAATCCATCTAAAAATTGCAAATATAAACTATTTGAGTAAGCATCCAAAAAACAAAATGACTTGGGAACTGTTCAACAACTCTACCCCCTCCTCCCTTCTTTGAAGCATGGGGTGTAATTACAATTTTCACTGTCGAAGTGCACAACCATGACTTCAAAATGACATCATCACTGACTGAATGTGCCAAATCTTGTTCATTTTGTATTTGTCAGGTCTTATTACATATTTTCATTAAATATTTATGAAAAGAACTAAACTTAATTTTCGTAGAATAATGGGACCAATAACTACTTCTTGTGAACCAACTTCTTTTTTGTTTAGGCATCACTTTCTACAGACCACATCAGTCTTCTACTCCATACCTAAGCAGTTTCCTGTCAACAGCTCTTAAGTAAAAATATTTGAGCATCTTTTTAGTTTTGAATCTCCTTACTTGAAGGGTTACTAGGGTAAAGAAAAGAGGTCAATTTGACTTCTCTCTTCCTGCAGTAAACCCATGCTATAAAAGGTGGGTAACTTTTTGGCTGTGCAGAATATATAAATATGCACAAACATTGTTTCTATTGTGTAAACAAATGACAATCATATCATACAATCCAGTCACTTAATAATGTGAACATTCTGAATACAATTGTGGAATTATCTTGACAAAATTGTTATAATTGAAACAGAGAACTGTTCAAGACCAAAACAAAATGTGAACTTACATCTAAAATTTTAAGTGGAGCAGGATAGTGTCCACCTGAAGCTTTCATTACTTGTTTTCTAGCTTGATTTAAAACTATATCAGGACCAAATGAATACATAACTCTTCCCATAATTTCTGAAACAAAGATAGAGGTATGATTACAGTCTACAAATATAGAGGTATGATTACAGTCTACAAATATAGAGGTATGATTACAGTCTACAAATATAGAGGTATGAGATACAATTTACAAAGTCAGCACAGAAAAATATTTTTATCTTTAACCCATTTCAAATTCCTTTATTTCTGGCAAGTTGAATTACATATCTTTAACCCATTTCAAATTCCTTTATTTCTGGCAAGTTGAGTTACAGTCTATTTATTTGAGTATGTACACAGAATAATAATGTTAAGTTGCCTTGTTTGTTAGTTGAACCATGCAATCAATAGTTTCTTTGTTTTATTATTTCCTGTAAGAATCTATACACTGTATATCTACAAATTTACAGCTACACGTCACAGATGCTGACTGATAATCTGAGCTATCATCTCCATGTAAAAGTAGCTAATTTCTGGCAAGTTGAGTTACAGTCTATTTATTTGAGTATGTACACAGAATAATAATGTTAAGTTGCCTTGTTTGTTAGTTGAACCATGCAATCAATAGTTTCTTTGTTTTATTATTTCTTGTAAGAATCTATACACTGTATATCTACAAATTTACAGCTACACGTCACAGATGCTGACTGATAATCTGAGCTATCATCTCCATGTAAAAGTAGCTAATTTCTGGCAAGTTGAGTTACAGTCTATTATTTGAGTATGTACACAGAATAATAATGTTAAGTTGCCTTGTTTGTTAGTTGAACCATGCAATCAATAGTTTCTTTGTTTTATTATTTCCTGTAAGAATCTATTAAACTGTATATCTACAAATTTACAGCTACATGTCACAGATGTTGACTGGTAATCTGAGCTATCATCTCCATGTAAAAGTAGCTATTCATATATGTCAGATGCTTATAAAAAGAATATTTTAACTTACAGTACTATTCAAACCTTTATACTTACTTTCCATTAATGATTTACTTCTATTTGGTTTTTTTAAACTTCTATTTGCTAATGATCTGAAAAACCAGCATAATCATTATATCATTAAATTACTGTTGATTAAAGTCTCATGCTATTCTTAAATCATATCAAAAATTGTGCTTTAGTTACATTGTTTTTAATAAATGATGGTGGTTCTTTTCTGTATAAACTTTAAATGCTGTATGAAGGACATAATACTGATGTAAATACAAAAGTCAACCATTCAATGTCACAAACCAGTTGTATCACAATGTAAGTGGCATTTTGGAATAGCAGGAAACCTTCAGAGTTTCAAAGATTCAAGAATGTAACTAATATGGTTAAATTGCCTTATTTCAAATATTTTTTTATTATTCCTTTTTTTCATCATGGTCATATTGTTTTTAAGTATGTAGATATTGTAATGGAAAGGTGTGAAAATGTCAAAGAAAAAAATTGATCTTGTTGAAAATATGATATTAGGGGAAATACTTCTTAAAAAACATTTTGTTGTTTTTTTAATATGCATGATATTTCTAATGGGTATTATAAATTGGAAAACTTCAACAAAAATTTAGATTTCTTCATTTTTTCTATACACTTTTGTATATCTATTAAAATATTGTGATGTCACAACTTTTGAAAATATGGCTAATTTATTTTTATAACTTAATGCTTTATAGTTTCATATTAACTAAACTTATAAATTAATTTGGTTTGGTGCTTTAATAGTATCACATTTTTTTCTTTTCTATGCATTTTTGAATTGTTTACAAAACCTTGTCCATAAACCTTTATATATCATCAATTTAATATGGAGTATATATCACCCAGGCTTGTGTGTTGTGTTGTCTGCTGTTGTTAGACTTTGTCTTTTTGGGGTTATCTCCCTCTAGTCAAGACAAATAGATAGTATCCATTCCTTGCTCAATGACTACTTATTTACAAGAGAAAAACCAATCAAATGAAATATACAGCTTATGAGTAATGAAGTGTTTCAAAACTTTAACTGAAAAAGAAGTAAAATATTCCACAAAACCAAAAATGAAGAAAAGAAAAATACATACTTTGCAGTTTGAACAGCTACTTCATGCAGGTATTCCATTGTTCTTGTTTCAGCATCTTTTAAACCATCTCCTAAAACATTATAAAAATTTCTTATTGAAAGCGATGTTTATCATAAAACATCTTGATGAGTTTTAATAATTTTTTCTACTAAAAAAAAACAACTCATAATTGTATCTATCGCACATATTTTATGTCTCTTTCCTGAGTCATTTAGATTTTTCTTCCTTAATAACTTATGTGAAAAGTAAATGAACATTTATTGAGCAAGCTCACAAACATGTGACCCCAACATTTAGTAATAATCATGACTGAGAGTGTAGGGCCATATAATCTCCATTGAAATTAGATGTGCTAATACTCATACTACTGCATACCATTAGTGGTTCATCTCAAACTATCCTATTCAGGAACATTAACATACAAACTATGCAAAATTGAAAGTCAATAGACTATGACTGAGAGGGTGTGGTCAAATTATCTTCATGGATATGATATGTTATAATGCTAATACAACTGCATATAAAATATCATTGACTTACAATTAGTGGTTATCGTTAAACTCACTATAACATGTAAACAAGGTGACATTTTCAAATTCAATAGACCATGATTGAGGGAGCAGGTCAAATGTTCTTCATGGATATAAGATGTGCCAATGCTAATACACCTGCATCCAAAATATCAGTGACTTGTCATTAGTAGTTCCCCATAAATCTCCATAATCACAAATTTTAACAAATGGTTGATATTGGCCCAGAGACTACACACCCAAGTCTCACCTCAGTGAGTACATCGAGGTGAAACAAAAATGAGGTAAAAGTCAATAGTAACAAATCTAACAATTAAATTAAGCATGTTCATTAAACCTATGATAATGTCAAAATATTATCTCTTTATATATATTAGTGACATTTTGTTTGTAATTCCCATAAATGTTTACTATTGATTCAATATCAATACTTTTTTTCTATGATCAGGTGTTTGACTGACTGGATATTGAGTAAGCAACATTAACATCAAGAATCATATTTTGAATATTAATGAATAACATATGGTCCAATTGATCCAACTTGTTTTAACTCCAGGCTAATTACATATCACTTACTTGTAGGGTATAATCTAGAGAAACAAATATACAATTTTTACTTCTCATGTATGCCACTTTTTGGTTGCAAGAGGCTGGGCTGATAAAAAAACATGACAGAGACAGAAATGTTAGGCATGACCTGAATTTTACATTAAATGAATAAACCATGTTTAAACCTACCTAATGGAGATACTATATGATCAACCAAGCCTATTTTTTTGGCCTTCTTAGGTGGTATGTTTTTACCAGTCAGCATCATATCCATAGCATCTGTCACAGGTAACTGTAAATAAGCATGTTAAAGATATACAGTGTATACATTCTACCACTTGGCTCTATTGTCAGAGTGTATTTATCTCCATGAATCAGATATGCCTTTAATAAATGTATAACATATTATTTTTAATTTCAATAGAGAGAACTACTTTCTGTCATTATAAGCAGAAGTGTCCCATGCAAAAGTCAATAAATTAAGAAATGAAACTTATCAAAATCATCAAAGTTATCACTGGCATGAATTATCTGCAAATAGTCAATCATTCTATATAAACACTGGTAACCTCATAAATTTATTTATTTAGCATTATATAAACTGACCTAATTACTCCTGGATGTTGACCTAGTTCAAACACACTTGCATAGAAGTTTATATGACCTTATGACAGCACCTAATAGTATCAACAGAACATGCAAGTAGATCAAAACTATCTTCTTCTAACTGAACTTGATGCTAACCTTCTCAACTCAATATAACTTTTTATTATTTATGTCATTATCTCTTTGACATATATACCCCACATCTTCTTTTATTCATATCTATATTCTATTCAAAACCATTCTACAAATTAAAAGTATATGAGAATCAAAATTGGCACAAAACTTTAAAATTCACTCATGAGTAAAATACAGGTCAAGATGACCAATTTGTGATGTGGTAGATAGCCTCATTTACGGACATTTTATTAAAATTGGATGATCCTCTCTTTTTAATAGTGTCTGAGATATGGACTCCATCCATCCCAATTTTTCTAACAAGCAATTATAAATATTCATATACCTCTCTTAAAAGTCTCTGTGTTCCACCAGCACCTGGCAACAGTCCAAGCATTACTTCAGGGACACTTAGTTTTGTCTTGTTGTCGTCAACAGCAATACGATAATGACATCCTAATGCAGCCTGAAAATCAGTGCAATATGTTAATTTTTTTTTTTTTTCAGAGGATGCAGTTAATATAAACACATAAATTTAACATAAAATTGTAGTTCACCTGTATCTCTGTTACTACTTTTACTTGCTACGCTTTAAAAAAATCAAGTTGTGATTAGAGTTCAATAATTCCATTTTGGTAATTATTACACCAGAATTTTACAAAAAGAGGCAAATATTTGAAAAATTTTCTTTTTTTGCATTGGGAATGGGCCAATTCCTTGTACTAAATCCCCGAGTCGAATATGCATATTTGTAATGTGTTATGAGTTATTTCAACATTTTTCTTAAAGTTTTGGGCAGTTATCTTTTATTTCGTTTCAATAATAATAATATTCTTGCCAAAGGCACATTAATTATTATATTGAAATTAAATAACTCATGTTGCTATCAAGTGATATCCATTTTTTACCCCTTATAAAACGTATAAGTATTAGCACCAAGTGTTGACATACCTCTAATCCACCTCCCATGCATGTACCCATTATTGCAGCTACAACTGGTTTTTTACAGTTTTCCACATCCTGGAATATCTGCTGTCCCTTCTGAGAAAGACTTGTTAATTCTTCTGCAGTTTTACATTTTTCTAACATTCTGAAAATTAGCAATCATAGAATTTTAGTAATTGTAGCATTGCCGATTAAAATAACTCTGAATTACATAATTTATCGACTTCATATACAGTAGTGTATATGTAATTTGCGTTTTCATGGAAAATAGGCACAGCTTTTTAACATGATTGACAAAAATGAATCAGGATTACTTTGGATACAATTTTGGTATCTTCATTCAGCTACTTACCCAATATCTGCACCAGCAATAAAACATCCTGGCTTTCCTGAGGCAACAACAATGCTACTGACTTTACTGTCTGTGTTTGCATGATTGAATAAATCTACAAACTCCTGCTGTACATCTATTGATAAAGTATTAACCTACAATATACATTTTTATTGTAAAAGCAAAACTAAAATCATTTAAAGATGGTTATTAATCTTACTGATGGAAATAAGGTTTCCAAATTATCATTACCATCAAGACAATGCAACAAATAATTAGCAACATAATGAACAATATTAATTGCAGTACATGTAGTAGTTTCAATGTTAAATCTAACATGACAATCTCCTTGAATATTCTGTATAAAAAACAATTTCTTTTTTAAACATCTGCTAGACTTATTTATGTTTTTACTATTGAAAGTAGACTGATTGCAAAATAAATAAAAGGATATGTGGGGTATAAGTCAACAGATCGCAACAAAACAGCAAACATCTAAGACATCTAGATGTCAACATAAGATCTTCAACAATAGACAATTATCTATACAAAATGTCAAGCAATAAAATACCAAAAGTATATAAAGAAATATCATCATACTATTTCTAAGGCGATCTTAGGTAACTACATTATGATTGTATTTATAAAATAAAAATGATAGATCATTACATATTTCACTTTCCATAGAAAAGCATACAACAATCAATCAATCCAATAAATTGCTTATCAATGGGACCTTTGACCACAAGGTAAACTTTTCAAGTAACTTGAACATGTCCAGGCCATAACTTTTTTATCTTTTGAGAAAGACTTGATATTTGCAAGCGAGTACATCACCCTAAGACAATCATGACAATGTGTTGTATACTATGGGATATGAACTTTATCTTTGACTTAACAGTCAGGTGACTTATTGAAATAAGTGATTTTTAAATCACTTATTTAAGTAGCAAATTCGAAGTTTTGTCACAAATTGTGATTTTGTAGTTTTAACAAAATTTTAAACACACAGGTTTAGATAATATCTTTTCATTAGTAAAATTGAAAAAAATGAACTTTTTGCTTCTTTTAAGCAGCAAGGTTTATGCCTTTGATGCAATCATTTAGCTGCAAATTCTATTTTAGTTGAAAAAATGCTATAAAAATGGCTTTACATAATGAACTGATACTTTCTTAACAGATTTTTCCCAGCAGTGGGATTATTTTTCCTGTAAAATTCAAGGTTTCATCTTATAGATTATGTAATAAAATTCTACTGTTCGCGATCAAAATTTCACTGTTCGGGGGTGTTGAAATTAGTGGGGGTTATTAAAATAATGATACTTAAAGAAGTGATTTTTTGGAAGAAAATTGAGGTATGATACTAAAACAAGTGATTTTTATGTCATTATCCTAGATTTAGTACAATGTCATCACCTGACATGACCTGGTCATCCTATCAACACAGATGTTGGTTCTGATAATTTTAGCAACATAATTAATCCCTGGATCATTAGTATTCTATATTTAAAGCTACAACAAAATTAAATCACTTAGTCTAGTGATTAATTTGTACTACTTAAATAGGTGATTATTAAAGAAAGACAACTCTTACTTCCAACCTTTATGGACATAATGTTACTTGAATCAGTGATTTAGAAAATCACTCATTTAAGTAAGTCCCCTGACTGCTTAAGGGTCAAAGTTTTTAAATCATGCTTCATTCAATATGTTTCAAGCCCTATATTTCCCCATTGATTAACAGTGTATATTGGACTAATTAGGAAACATACTGCATATCATATTTGTTTTTAGTTTATTGTGTTGTACATAAATCAGGCTGTTAGTTTTCTCGTTTGCATTGTTTTACATTTGTCACTTCGGGTCCATTTATAGCTTGCTGTGCCGTATGGTTTGGCTCATTGTTGAAGGTTGTATTGTGGCCTATATTTGCTTACTTTTATGTCATTTGGTCTCTGGTGAGTAGTTGTCTCATTGACAATCATACCACATCTTCTTACTTTCATATTTATTCATCTAAATAGTTCTAGTTTACCTTTGAGTTTGGTGTGTCAAATTTAATTACAGCTACATCTCCTACTGTTTCATATTTTAAATGTGCTGAAATTAAAATTAGAACAAATTGCTGACAACCACAACTTTCTACAATATTCAACTAGAATAAACAAACATGATTCTAATGACTGTAAAATTTAAATTATGCAACAAGTAATCAGAATAAGTGCCAATCTGCCTAAGAGTCAGGCAGTGGTGAAAACATAACATATAAAACCCACTCAATTTTGCATTAATTCAAGTTCAAAATATTTAATGGTGCATGAATAAAACATTCATTTCCTTTTCCTGTTCCGGTAAATCAAGATATAATTTGGTTGAAATACACTAGAAATTCACAATTAAGGGGAGCTAACTCCGTAATTTGCTATCATTCTAACCAAAATTTATCTAGAGATTTCTCGAATTACCAGACACACAGAAACAAATGACCTACCATTTTGAACTCAGGATGAGGGTAACTTACAAAGACTGGCATTTAAATATCGAACATTTACAAATGTGATTAAATTTGCTGTCAAAAGTTAAAGACATTAGTACATTGTTTAAAATTACCGACAACAGTAATTATGGCACCTAAAATATATTAATTTACAAAGCAAAAAAATACCAAGTTTTACAATTCACTGTTCACATTTTAACTTCTTCCATTCAAGTTTTTATTTCAAGTAAAAAATAAACAGCAGCCTCATTTCGAGATGGAATACATTTCATGTTATATCGACTTGATGCCAAACTAAATTAAGGTTATCATTTAAGGTAAGGTTTTATGCAGAAATAAGCATCCATCTTTATTTACATTGTAGATAATTATGGACAGGACATTGTTATTAAGGAATAGTTACTACGGAGAAAATGTGCAAAATTTTTACATGAATGTCTATCCCAATACATGTGCATCTATCATGAACATGATCCTACAAAAATATTTTATGTTATATTTTATTGAGGTGTCTTTTTGAATTACAACAGGGTAAGAAAATAGGACATCTTTGTTCTGTAAAATGTGAAATATAATAAAAATGTATCTTACCATTCATACAAGAGCCTGTTGAGAAAAAATGTCTGTATTCTCCTAAAACAGAAAAAAAAGCATTCAAGTGTTTAATCAATATAGTTAATCTACCAGTGTTTATGACACTTTTTAAGCAGTTACTTAAAGATTGGCTATACATGCCATTTTACAGAGAAAATTAACTATATTTACAAATCTACATGTATAGGTCATCATAAGGTTTTCAACAATTGCAAAACCCATTCTGTATAGTAAGCCATAAAGGACCCAGACAGGACAAAATGTAAAATAATTCAAACGAGATAACCAACAATTTACGAAAGTTCAAAAGTTTGTATCAATTTTCAGAAATATTTTTTTATTCAGTGTCCAATATGTAATTCAATTCATATGTACATGTAGATCCAATGCCCTGTCTTGCTGCATTTCCTTACAACTTTTAGAAACTATCAAATCTACTTACAATTTTTTAATAAAACACTTACTGTCAACTGAGCAAACAAAGTTATTGAAATTGATATATTTATCTATTCATTACATACTAGTCAGATTTTTTAGAGAGTACAAGTAGATGGAAGATTAACATGAAAGGACAGACCTCATCACTTAATGAGGTTCTCAATTTTAGAAAACTGACCATTTTCACATAAATGACTATTTATTAAAGCATTGTAAAGCTTGTTATACAAAATGTTTTAGAATACTAATTTCTTTCAACAGAATCAAAATAGATTTTCATAAATTTCAAAATTTACTTCACTGCAGTACAGTTTATAGTATGATAAATTACCCTGCTTAAAATCATAATCACACTTTGGTGTGCAACAACAAAACAAGGGAAGCTCGCCCTTAAATCAGACACTGTATAGTCTGCACTGCTCTTTGCACCTTAAATGGAGCACAGGTTAAGAATTCCTGTAAACTACCACCAGATTTCAAAAGATTGATGTCCCAAATACCCTATGAACTGCTCTGAACTAATCATAAAACATTTAACTTGCTGCTCTGAATTAGCCTTTGAGACATACACTTCTGACCTTGGGTTGGAGTCGTTGGACACCGGCAAATAAAATGTGTAAATGACAGATTTGATGGTAAAAATCATCTTGAACATGATACATTGTATTACACACTTAGTTAAGGCACATAAATAAAATTAAACAATAATCATTTGTCACTGGAGAAATAATTAATTTGAAATTTTGACGCTATTGACATCAATGTCCGATTCTAAGGCATCAAAGCAGCTGTAAACCCATCCAAAATAGAGTTTGATAGAGAGAACTCAATTATCAGTCAGGGGTACTACTTAAACAAGTGATTTCAGAATCACTCCCTCGAGTGATTTTGGCTGTGAAATATTAAAAATTTTCACACAGACTTTTTAAAATCACTGAAACAAGTAATTTTAGAAGTTAAAATGTAATCACTTTAATAAGTGTTTATAACATTTTCTTGATATTTTTCCCACAAGCTTGATTTTTTTATTGGTAAAAAGACAACAATTCCATTGAAAAAACAACTATGTATATGCAGAAATTGTCTTTTGCTTGATAAGCCTGACACTTTTACAGTTTTTTTTAAATATGCAAAAACTGGAATAGTTTGTAGATCAGGTCATAACCTTGAAGTAGATCATTCTAACTCTAAAGAAAACCAATCAGGTTACCTAATATTGTTGATCTTTGTCTGATAGTAAGAGTAGTTAATGAATTTTTGATTACAGAAAAATTCCCAAGGGTACTTTTAAAAGCTTTAGCACACTGCCCAAGCGCACTGGTGAAATTAATATACAAAGAAAAAGGGATAATTGATTTATGTAGGAAAATTATAGAAAAGATTGTGAAAATATGGAAAATCAATGAAATTAGCATTTGAAGATCAAAGAAAACACTAAAATCACTTAAATAAATCACTGAAATAAGTGATGATGAAATCACTTGTTTAAGTAGCACCCCTGACTGATTATGGGATTTATGAGTTACATGTGTTAATCGTCAATTGCTGTAAAAGACGTCATCGAACAATTGATTCTTAGTGTGATGAAATAACATGACATTGTGACATAGGAAATGTATGGGAAAGTGCATGAAATAATTCGGAAGTTGTCTATACACCAATCTTTATGAATGAGTTACGATGCAGTCCGGTAAATCCGCCCACATAAGGCTTTGATCGTATGTATTTCTGCTTAATTATATACAAATTGTATCAAATTTAACATAAATCGATTCACTGACAAATCAATTTTGAGTAGTTTATCTGTGTTTTTATCGGAAATGTGTTTGTCCGGTAAATCCGCCCATGGGCAGTAAATATGTATGGAGGGCCAGTTGATCACATATTTATGAAAGGAAAAGGTGATCTATTAATAAACCACTTATATAGATATTCTAGACAATCAGAAAAATTTTCAAGGCAGAAACAAGTTTTGTAAGCAATAATAGATTATCACTAGCTTTAGGAACTGTATTATATATATCATTAGATATTTTCGTAATAAAGGATTTTTCTTTAACATTTGACATGCAGTAATGATGAGTACAGTTCCTATGAATAAAGTAACAGACGAAATATTCACGGAAGTGACAATTATGGAAGTAAATTGGAGTGGGCGGGTTTACCGGACACTACTGTACACCAGTTGACCAAATGTCAATTGCTTAAACAACTTCATTGAACAAACAGTTCTTACTCTGTTACTGTGATGTAATACATTGTAATATAAGCATTGTGAAAGAGTAAATTTACGGAAAGTGCAAGAATTCAACGAGTTTTTTTTTATCGACCTTGACTACCAATGAGGGACTTGCACGGTTAGTATAGAATTCAAAGACAAAAGTCGTACAACATGTCTAAAGACTAAACAGTTAGGGCCTAATTTGAGGGTATAACAACCAGCTACCATACCACATCTCTAATTTTTATAATCTGCAAATTTAGATGTGTCAATATTTTTCTTGTAAGAAGGTGAAAATGTCAAAAATAGGAGGTATGTGAGACCTAGGGGCAAGTTATCCTACACAGAAATTATGACATCCTTTGAGGACGATGAACTTATACAGTAAGGTCAATCAGGATAATGTGTAGTCTATTCTGCAAAATATCAACTTGAATATAAGAAACGTAAGATACTTATGTGATCACCTTGTGCTACACGCCCAAGCGACGAAGATACAAATTTACAAGCTCTCAGTATCCTCATGCTGGACGACATGACTTCGATATCGGTGCCGGTTGAACTTTGGTCTCTCTCGGAAAATCTCGTAAAAACTCGTGAAATCTCTTTTATTCTGAATCTCTTTTATTGTTTGTAAATAACTTATAGTCTTCAGAGATAAGATAAAGCAATGTCTTGAAATAGCTGCTTGTACAAGCAGTCTTTAGCTCGTGTGACAAATTGAAGTTTTGACACAATCAACTATTTTCTTGTAGGTCACGTGAAGTCCAACGGTCAATATTAACTGTCATGGCGGCCTCCATGAGAAGAACTGTTTTCGCCTTGAAACATCAAGCTTTACCTTGTAGGTTGCTGACCTTAACGCACAATCAATAATAGTATAGTTGATAAGATGTAGAAATTCAAAAAAGTGTTCAAATTTAAAAGCTTTGCAGACGGGATTAAAATATAGCTAAACAATTTTCTGACTTGTCAGAATTTTTTTCCCTGAGGCTGAGTTACTCTTCGGAAAGAACGAACTAGATAGTGCTGTCAATTTTAATTCATAAGCTGAAGGCATTACACTTAGTGTATTACTGACTTGCTCATGCTAAATATTTTGATCATGCTCATTTCAATGACTAATCACAAACGCATGTGATGGACCCCCTTTTTTTCATTTTTTTTTTTTTGGAAATTTTCACTTGCAGTCAAACCTGAATTAAGCAGTCACTCATGGGAAGTATTAAAAGTGACCTCTCTAGCGAGGTAACCTATTAGATGAGGTTCTGGAAAAAAATTCCCAATTCGCACTTGGGCCTGATTGGTGTAATATCTTCGAATATTCTGGGAACGTTTTCACAAACCTTCGGGACATTAACTTACGTCGCTACGGCGATACCAATTGTATATTTCTTAGTCATTATTAAAATACCATCTGAATAATCAAGTCTTGCTCCGATCTTTCAATGGCGACGAGGATCAGAAAAACCAACCAGAAGAAGCACCCGATAGACCAAAACGAGACAGAATGTTATGTGATTGCAGGTGCATTAGACAGCATGTGAACTTTATTAAAACATTCATAAGCAAACGTAACACTTTTATTACAAAAACATAAGTGAACATTTCAGAGACTGTGATAATTTAACTCATATATGCAAACTTTATTTTACACATTATTAATTTACAATTATGTAGTTATTTTCTAATTCAAAGTTAAGGAGGAATGTAATATCTTCGAATATTCCAGAATGTTACACACAAACCTTCGGGACATTAACTTATTACGTCGCGTCGCTATGGCGATACCAATTGTCTATTTCTTAGTCATTATTAAAATACCATCTGAATATTCAAGTCTTGCTCCGATCTTTAAGTCGGGGCAAATTGATAAGAGTTATTGTCCATGCAATTACCGTTCCTACTCGCTTATTAGTCGGAAAATTGGGAGTAAAATTCATAATCCAGAGAGGGGGACCGACTAATAGACGAGATCTAGCGACCAGAGGAAAAATCCAAGCTTGAGAAAAGTGGTCAGGAGAGAATTTCCTGGTCAAAACTACGTTTTTGATTGCCAAACCTACATAAATCAATAAATAAAAAGTTTTTGTTGAAAATAAATGACTACAATACTGTCTTTGTGTTTTATTTGTTCTTTGGTAAACATTTTCTGCAAATTCGTGTTGAAATTCTACTGTTTCCGGTTTGTGTATTGATTTTCATGGTCACATGGTTTTCCTATAAACCCAAAAGAAGAGCCAAGAACCAAAAATGAAAAGGAGATAATAATGTACCAAATATGTGAAAGGATGTTTTCAGCGGAGTTATTGTGTCATTATTGTGATATCATGATATCAATTCAATGCTTATAAATCATATAATAATCAAAAAATAATTTTAAGATTCATTCCCAAAATCAAAATATTATTCATTAAAGTGTCTCAGTAAACAAATTACAAAATTGATTGACAAGCCAATATAATCCATTGATAACCCCAATTAAGAGACAAAGAGTTGTATTTACTAAAGGTGTGAAAACTTTCAGTGATAGGTAAACAGATGACACTAATGAGTTGGAGTTAGTTATTTTAATATATTGATTAGCTTCACTTAATTTTTTTAATCCTTTAATCATCACAATATAATAAGAATTATGAAGTGTACATGCTCATTTAACACCGAGTTATGTATGCTGTGAAAAATATTTTCATCAAGTGTTGATTGACTTTAAATTTTTCAGGTTCATATTGGTTTATATTCGCTTTTCTCAAACAATAGGTTGTTAGTCATACCCTACAAAATCATTGATGCATTACGTAAACAACACATGGCTAATCTAACATTTGAACAGTGAACAAAACAAGAGAAATGAATACATCTTTATTATTAACAGCAATATAAATTATCATGATGAGCATCAACTAAATTCAAACCAAACAAACATTAATGCAGAAATGAATATTATTCCTGGATTTGCATTGGTTTTACCGGCGTTCAGTTACTGTCAGCTGAAAAAAAAATGCCCAAATTTTGTCCGACTTATACGAGGGTCAAGACTAAATCCTTAGAATTTGGAGCTGAAAAGGGCCCACGACTTATAGTAGGATCGACTATTAGGCGAGTATCTACGGTAGCCAAAAAAAATGGAAAATTCCTGTGCTCTAAATTTGAAGAAAACATTTGAAATAGTAAATAATTGTCAGAAATTAGTCGATGATACGGTTTTCAATGGAAACTGAAAGGAGTAAGTATTGGGTCCATTCGCACCCTACACGTTTGCCCCTTGGGTCCTCCCCCGTGGGTCCATTTGCACCCAATTTTTATATTCAAATACCGGTTGAATTTTTTTATGCTTTTTAGATGTATATATATCAAAATATTTATATTTTCATGAATAAAAAATCGGCAATTTTTAAAAATGTTAAATGAAACATTTTTTTAATGATTGTATGATTAAATATTAATTATTTTGAATACTTTTTGGAATGTTAATGATATCATTATGAATAAAGATAAATCAAAATATAGTGTAGTTTTTCTTTACCTTCATAGTGTACCATCAAGCTTCTTTACATATGGAAATAAATGCTCTATATCATAAATGATAGCTGTAATACAACACCAAATAAGCATATATAATTATATATATAAGTACATATATATGTTGGTACCTTCAGTCTTCTTTAAACATGGAAATAAATGCTCTGTAGGTACTTATAGCTGACATGCAACACCATGAACACCTAAAAAAATGTGATTTGTGGCCTGGTTTTGTGTTATTCGTTGTTGTGGCAAAATCATTGTGACGAGTTTGATAGCCTTTAAATTTGGTATCTTCCACCTTTCTTTTACAAGTCTAAGATGAATGAACTTTGCCATGTTTATCATGACAATTTTTTATTTATTAATCATTTCGTCAAAATAAAACAACAAAGGAAACCTATTTACGTTTTTAGAGTATCACTTTATTTTGAAACAATAATAAGTAAACTTAGTATAGCAACACACTAACTAAAACACAATTAGATTAAAAAATTATTCAACACATGACCAAAAAAAGGGTGCGAACGTGAAAGGGGGCGAACATGAATGGGAGCTAATGTGATTTTGGGCGAACGGTCCCGGATTCAAAGGAGTATAAGGCCAGGGTTTTTAATTTGTTGGTTTACAGATTTTTTATGTGAAAAAGTCAGGTCTGTCGGTCGAAAAAAAAAAAGAAAAAAAAATTTCTTAAAAGACATAAATATGTATAAATTTGATAAATATATCAGCTTACTAATAATAGTTTTGGTATGTTTTTCTTAATTTTTAGTTCCAAAAATTATTGTGCAGCTGTTTTAAACGTACAATGCATACCATCGTAACATAAGTTTGTAAAAAGGGGGTATGTCAACGGACAAACAGGAAATAAATGGTCATTTCAACAACGTTAAAAAAAACAGCTACTCAATGCTTTTTAGCAACTTCAAAAAACAAAGTGAAAACATGAAAATGACCATTGTTAAAAGTTGAAATGACAATTTCATGCGAAAAGTAGGTTACTGCGTTAGACAGGTGATCGCTGAAAAGAGTTAAATTATATAGAGAAAATGTTTGGGTGCATTGGTCAACACTAATACACCCCAGTGAAATACCAAAAAGAAGCACAGACTACTTTCGAATTTATGCGCTTTCCTGTTTATTTCCTATGTCACAATGCTTAAGTTATTACGTCACTGTATGACCTGATTGTCCAAGGATGCACTTTACACCGATTGACCTCAGGTCAACTGGTGTAACTCATTCATAAAAAATAACTCGCAATTAGTGTATTCAATTCTTTAACCCTACGACTACGACAGTTTAAGAATGAATGTCGTAGCATTTCCCGTATTTTTCTTTTACTTTAAGTTAAGAATTTTTGAGAAAGTTGTTAAACATCATTTTTGATGTCATATTTCTTATCATGAAGTTATACCATTATTCGATAAATATAAGATATTTATTATACATGTGTATGTTTTATTAGTATACGTAAGTATTATTTAGTTTGTTTTGAAAACTATTTTTTGTCATATTCTAATGAGGGACACATATGTCTCTAGCACGCTTTGCCGACAAGGGACATGTATGTCCCTGTAGGGACCAAAAGGTTAATAAAAAAAATCTGAAATTGTTTTTTTTCAGTTAGTTTAAGATGTTTGAGCACTTCTGTGAATCACAGTCTTTATGCACCAAGAAGAGGTATGTAATAGATTTTATAAAGAATGATAAATATGAGACTGCTTAAAATAAGTTTGAATTTAAGCATCAATTACATTTCACAGCTCATACTGAAGTACATATTTGCAGTTTATCTTCTAGAATTAATACCCAATGAACAGATGACAAAAGAAGAATAAGGGTCTGGTCTGTATTATAAACCTTGTGGTCTAAAAGGACATAACAATCAAAATAAAAAGGATACTTTAGTCATGTTTAATTGATTTAATTAATTATGTTAAAGAATTTCTTTAAATAAAATGTATTAAAAATGACCTAAGCAGCCTGAATATTTGTATTAGAATTATAGACTTACCATTTATGTTTTAGAAAAGACTCTGTCAAAGCAAGGAGTTAAAAATGTAGT